GTATTTTTTTCGCAGAAAGATACGAAGGTATTTTTCGAAACAGACACAAAGAACTTCAAAACATCTTTAAAGTGTATTGAGCCGCTCTTTTTCACCTGTTTTTTTTTATAGACAACCATATTCATTCCAGTTAACGAAGATGTAATAACTAAACTGATAGCACATTTCCTCCTGAACAAATTCTATATCTATACTAGTCAAATCTCAACATAAGCAGCTGACTTAAAAAATTCTTACAGAAAAATATTTAATTTTCTTTCTTTCCGCTATTTAGCTATACAGAACGATAAATATCAACAGTGACAGATTTTATTCTTTAGAAAAAATAGTACTTACACATTATACCAAAATGGTAAGATATGTTGCCTGTATTGCTTGAAGAACATTTTCCTCACAAATGATTGTTTTCTTTTTCTTTGCGCTAAAGTATTATCTGTTTCGCTTCTATTGTACGAGCGTGGGACAAGTAGAATAAACTCGTCTACTACCCATGTCGTTAAAATCGTCTATGTTTTGACGATATCACAGATGTAATAGAAGACTCTCTTGTTACTTGTGAACAATATGACAGATTAGAAGACTTCGACTATCCTAATGTGTCGAAGGCTTTATGAGAGTTCCGAAACTTCGACTTAAAACTTAAACAGACTATTTTTCTTTGAAAAATAAATGTGAGTTCCACAGAATCTGAACTGAACCCATCTCTACTCCAAAGGATACAGCAAGCGTTCCTGATCATCTCTTGAATCTACCTGCCGGTTCCACGCGATCGTATAGTTCTTCTATCATTCTAATGATCACGTATTTGTCTACATAATAAAAGTTAGAATAGAAATAGAAAATGATTATCAGATAGTGTGTGCGTGCATCGTCAAATAATGACTCAATATTTAAACAGTTTTATAACAGAAGAGTAATGGCATGAGTTAATGGACAGGAGAGTTACTGGGCATTCTAAGTGAAAGATTGCGCTTGGAAAGCTCGGGAATGACAGCGAACAGTATTACGTAGCATAGAAAAAACTCGCAAAATTTAGATTCATGCAGGTAGATGTTTAGCTTCTCCTCCTTCCTATGCGCCTCGCTTCACTCAGTATCTCGCTCTTTGTTCATCACGAATTTTCGTTTCGATGTTACCTTCCAGTTTGATGTTTTATTTATGATATTATTTTCTATTATCTTACTTTGTTCGAAAGAACAAGAACAGTCACGTTTACAATGTTCTTTTCGTTATTGAAAGAAACCTTTAACTTTTACATCCCTAGCTCCTTCAATCAAACGTGAAACTGGTCTCGGTGTAAACTGAGCAAATGATCGAGAACAATAGAAAGGCATAAACTATGTGAAGAAGGATTTCAGACAAAACAAATTCATTCTTAAAATACTGGTTTTTTTTAACTGCGCAACTATATCTATTTCAGATTTATCCTCCATCACAACATATTTTTCAAACATGCCTTTCTCCTCTACAAAACAACGTGCTATCGCAAATGCTATCATTAATATCCTAACCGAACACGGGGCACGAAGACTTGGTGAGCTGGTTACCTTGTTAATCACAAATTATCGTGTTACCGGAGAGGAAGATCACGACTTCCGAGATGTAACTGAGACCAACATCATGCCAATTTTGGAATCTATACAAGATCGTCTCTTCCGCTATCGGATAACAAACTGCGGAATTCAAGGTGCGCCTTACTACTATGCCCTTCGCACGGCCAATGATCCGAACGACAGTTTTGATACAATATATTATCATTGATAAACCTTTACATTTTTCATTACTCATGACTGTCTTTTGTTACTTCTTTCATATCTAATATATATATATATTCTAGAAACAACATTATTAAAACTATATGTGTACACTGAAAACAAAAAAGGTGTTAGACAAATCCTTTAGGGTTTCGTCGAAGTTTAACATACTTCAAAGGTTACCGTACAATTATACGAAATTCATAAGAGGTTTAGTAATATGCGAGGTTTTGTATAATACCTTTACAACTTCTGAAAACTAAGAAAAGGTTTTGTGTAGAACCAGTTTTAAACGTCTGAGCCCAAAAAAGTTTCGTAAACAGCTCATCATGAGTGTTGGAGCTAAAGAATGTTTTGTATAAAACCTTTGATAAGTGTTGGAGGTTCAAGAAGGGTTTCGCATAAAACCCATTACGGGTGTTGAAGCTTAGAAGAGCTTCGTAAAAAACACTTTGAGAAAGTTGTAGCAAAAAAAGGTTTTGTATCAAACTGTTTATAAGTTTTAGAATTTAAAAAGATGTCGTATAACACTCTTCATAAAAGCTAAAGTTTAAAGAGGTTTCGTATAAAGTCCTTTATACCTTTTGGAACTTAAAAAGATCTCGTATGATACCTTTTCGATGTTTCCGCCACGAGAAGGTTTCGTATAAAACCTTTTAGAAGTATCGCTGTCAAAAGGTTTCGTACAATACTATTTATTTTTTCTGCGCATCTATGCTATCGGTCGATGTTGACTTATTGTAAATCCATCCGATGATAAATTCTTCCATTCATTTGCCTATTTATTCTTCATCTTGCAACCCAGTTTCGATGTTTTCGTCGCTGTTTTTTGAACTCAAACGTTTTCATACAGAATTTCTTCTAGAAAAACTACGAAAAGTCTTTACTAATGTTCCAATAGCTGTATTAATATACCTTGTAAAAATATATTACCTATTTATTAAGCATGTTTTCGTGTATCTATTCCATGAATGACTATACTTATAAGTTTTATAGTAGTTTACAGAGTGGCTAAGATTTTAAAACAGTGAGGACCCGAGTCACCGACTTTCGTCATTTAATACAATAATTAATTCATAAACTGAATTCTTCTCTTAATATGATTCATTTCGTGTGTCGCTCTACCTGGATGGAGCTCATACTATTTTAAAACAATACGCACATATCTCAGTGTTCATTTAACTGAGACACCGGCAAGATACATAGGAACACACATAGATATCGGAGCATAAGCACAGATATAAGAGATGCACATAAACTTAAATCAATCTAAATACATATTGAGTGTGGGGTGTGGGTGTGGGTGTGTGGGTGGGTGGGTGTGGATGATGAATGGACCACACTCACACCCACACCCACACCTATCTTCATACTCACACCCACACTCTCAAACGATGAATAAACTCATTTTATTTCATATAATTCTTCCTTCAATCGAGGGAATATTTATCAACGAATATTTGCGGAAAAAATCAGTTTTGATTTTTCGAATAAGCCATATCAAAAATAAAATCATGCCAAAGGTGGCTAGTATGTCGATGATGAGCGAATAAAAGAGAACGAAATTAAATATCGATTGTTGACAATAAGAGACTGACATAAGTGCTTCACCAGATGTATAGCGATTTCGTATGCCAAAAGTCCAGATCGTGCCCTAAAATAGAGAATTTCAATCATATTAATGCAAATGATTGATTACCAAGACTATTATTTGCGATGTTAAGCATTAGTTGGAATGCAAAAATCGTTTTCAATCGATATCGTTTCTATTTATTTAAATAAAATTTCATAGTTTTAAAAAGAAACAAAATTGCTCAAAATGCAATTCTTTTTATATCACTTTTGGACTATCAAGTGAAAGTCGTTTAGTGAAGTTCCTCGTGTCAAAAACATCAGAATTCTCTGTTTGCTTTTTATTCAAAATGATTTCATTTGGATTCAAATGAGAAAAGTCTCTGATCTGTCATATTTGTAATCGAGCTTAGCATAGAATAATACACAAAAAGTGTTTCTCAAATTATAAAAAGATATCTCTTGCTATATAACAAGTAAACATTGCTTACCGGAATCGCCCATATTGCTAGGAGTATAGCCGTGGCAAGCACGACTAGAATTCCTGATTTTTGAAAAACTTTTTCGTCACATTGGCATCTACAGCATGGAAAGCAGAGAGCAATCTTTATACAAATATTCGGTTATATTCATTAATATGAAGATTATATAGAACTTACGAAGATAAAAGCAGCAAACGTTGGTATGAGTAAAATCAAACCAGTTATAACTATCCAAATAGGAATGAATGGTTGAATCGGACACGATTCAATTTTCACTACACCGATGATCAGAGTAATCAGACAAAGAGGAGTCATCAACAAGCAGATAATATTGAACAAGAAGTAGCAAATGAAAAAAGTGAGTGTTAAACTTTCACCCATTTAGCAAAACATGTAATTTGACTCGAATGAATGGTTGTAATGATAGGTTTACTTTTCATAAATAACCAAGGAGAAGAAGAATAGAAATGATGACATGTCCTTTCACAATCAAGATGCAACTGAAAATTACTCCATCCTCTCGTAATTCGAACCTTAAGAGGGCACTGCTATCAATATTTTCATAACTGAAAATAATTGAAATTCAATCAAGATATCTGAGTTATTCGGCTTTGCATAAGTTCAATTGATGTTGTTATTTTATATTTCAAAAAACAAACGAAAAGGAATTCATGATGATGAGAAAAAGTTGTTTATACCAATCTTAAACATAGTCTATTTTATTAGTAGTGATCACGAAAAACTAATTGCACAGATGCAATCATAACATCAGTTTATATTCGACAAGCTAAAAGAATTCTTCGTCATTAAGACAAACAAAGCAACAAGAGGAATGAAGCTAAACTGTAGTCGGCGAACCCAAGCAGACAACAATTTGAAAAAACGCAAGAAACGGTGTTTTTTTTCGATTAATTTTCATTTTCAGAACGTGAAAACGATGAAAAGTTCAAAAAAATGAGCTTTAAAACACATGATTTTTAAATTCCAGAATAAAAACGCATTGTTCCAAATTCTTGTCTGCTCGGGAAGCAGGCGCTGGGTATGGCTGTGGCTGTGAATGCTCACTTCCACCAATACTCACATCAACCCACACTCACACCCTATGAATTAAATGTACTCACTTCGTGTGTTATCCCATCAAGTTTTATATTTGTCTAATAATCATGAATAATATGGCGAAGAAATCGACAAATTAAAACAAAATTTCATGTATTAAATCAGCTAAACAAATTATATTATGACGATCATGGTTGACTGATACTGAATCTAAGTCTAATAAATAAAAAATTATTAATTAATATTAAAATTTATTTTCCTAATAATAAGTTTCAAAATAATCAATTCAAATTTTAGAAAAAAATTCATTTTTAAATAATGAGACATGGGACTTATTACTTACTGATATCATTAACAAAAACTTTTCGCATCTTTGGTAATTTTTCTTTCAATTCCATCAACGTATTTATTCTCTCTGAGTGATATGAACTCTGTTGTAAACATTGTTGATTTTTAGAAAAAAATCAGTGAGAAAAACTGCTTTTTTTAACTTAAAATGTTTTGCCAAGAAGACATCTATATAGATATGTCCATGAAGGGTGTGAGTGTGAGTGTGGGTGTAGGTATGAGTGTTGATTATCTTAAGCAACACCTACCCACACCTACAATAACACCCACACCCGCACCCCACCCACATCCACACCCTACTGCCACTGAATTCAAAACATTTTTTGTTATTTCTTCATCATATTTTTTTCCAGTAGGTGCAACCTCATTTCGTGCACGTTGTTTAATTTGTTCACGTGTTTTTTGGACTTGAATCAATTCAGGATTTGCTGGATAACCATGGTCAGTTGTACCACTAGACAAATAATCTGGATTTATATCAGTATGGGCATATACACCGCAGCCATTAATTGTACACACCCAGTATTTTTTATTCGGCATTTTTTTTGTTACATTTGAATATGTATTGATTCATTACTAAAAGGGGCTGTCCTTTATTGGAAGTAATGAAAGTTAAATCACAAGTAATGTTGCGTGCAGATTCACTAGAAGCTTCCATCTCTATCTTTATCACACGAATAATGAAAAAATGAACAGCATTATTCTTATTCTTCTCTACAACATTGTACTAAGTGACCAACGTCTGACAGATCAATGATAGATCTAAATGAACATAAGTCGCCATTGTTCGTGCAATAATGACATCTTCATCGTACATCTGTCAAAATTTTACTTTTATGACTTTTTTTGTACATTTTTACTTTCTATATTGTACTTTCAACGTTTTCACATTCGACATTTTTACTTTCGACTAAAGTTGCATTTACCCGTATTCTAGAATATTACATTTCGATAGTATATGCAAAGTTAGAGATCGTTCGCTTTAATTTAATTTTTATTGATTTCTATGTGCAGATATCTTTGACCAATTGGTGATTCTCGTACCTAGGATGAAATCACGATAGTGGTAAGTATTAGTTCATACTCACCCTCACCTTTACTTTTACTTGTACAAAGTTCGATCCTTTCTAAGAAGTTGCCAAAATTTCTTTTTTGAGCTCTTTTTCTGAAATATTTATTTTAATGTTAAAATAGCCCTTATAGACAAGATTATTCATCGAAAAAACAAAAAAACTGTTTATTGTTTATTTGTTTGTTATGGTTGGTATAACTCCGAACTATTTAAAACACCAAGATTATCTAATCCATAAGTAACTAACAGTTTTCCATTTGTTAACACGGATGCTGTGTGGAAAGCTCTAGTAGAATTCATACTAGCAATGATTGTCCACATTCCTGTTGACGGGTCATACAACTCGGCACTATCTAAAAAAATATTCTCAAGTCCACCAGTAACTAACACTTGTCCATTTGTGAACACTGATGCTGTGTGAGAATTTCGACTAAAATTCATACTGCCAGTGATTGTCCACATTCCTGTTGATGGGTCGTATAACTCAGCACTATTTAAAACAACACCATTATATCCACCTGTAACTAACACTTTTCCATTGGTTAACACAGATGCTGTGTGATGCTGTCGAGTATAATGCATACTGCCAGTAATTGTCCACATTCCTGTTGATGGATTATACAACTCAGCACTCTTTAAGGCAACACCATTATATCCACCTGTAACTAACACATTTCCATTGCTTAACATAGATGCTGTATGTCTATATCGAGTATAATTCATACTGCCAGTAGTTGTCCATACTCCTGTTAATGGGTCATATAACTCAGCATGATTTAAAGGAATACCACTAGATCCACCCGTAACTAACACTTTTCCATTTGTTAACACGGATGCTGCGTGATAACATCGAATATAATTCATACTGCCAGTGATTGTCCACATTCCTGTTGATGGATTATACAACTCAGCATTATCTAAAACAACACTATTCAATCCACCTGTAACTAAAATATTTCCATTGCTTAACATAGATGCTGTATGTCTATATCGAGTATAATTCATACTGCCAGTAGTTGTCCACACTGCCGTTAATGGGTCATATAACTCAGCATTATTCAAAGCAACACCATTCAATCCACCAACAACTAATACTTGTCCATTTGCTAACACGGATGCCGTGTGAGAATATCGACCATAATTTCCACTACCAGTATTTGACCATGCTAACAGAAAATATTATATACAGTTTACGAAAAAAATATGTATCATTGAATTCTAGAATGTTTACAATCAGGAACGATACTGATGAGATTCTTATCCTTATTATATTACACAAGAAAGGAGAAAAACAAATGTGTGACAATTATAGAGGAGTTTCACTGTTGAATGTAACAAGTAAAATATTTTCTCGTATTAGATGGAATCGTATTCAAAATATGATTGATCATCAATTCTTAGAAGCGCAGTCTGATTTTCGTGCACGGAGATCAACTGTTGACCAAATATACATATTGAAAAGCACGATGGAAAACGTAGGGAATTCAACAAATCATTATTCACAAGTAACGTTCGTCGCGTAGCGATTCACTTAGCCCTAGACTGACGGAATAAACAAAGGGATTTAGTCATATATACAAATGAGGGTGCATTAAATAAAGTAGTAGACAGAATTGATAATATGATAAGTATATCATAGATGGTCATAAAAATTAATTTCAACAATGCACCTTATATATAAAGATGATGCATATATGGATTCAGTTTATCTATCGTAAACAATTCATTTTTTGTTTTATAATTACAAATAGTGCCAATATAATTAAACAACAATACGAAATTTTAATAATTACATTAGCGCTATTTGTAATTACAAAAACAAAAATCACATTATTCACCAAATTTAAGTTTTGTTAAGCATAATTATATGTTCAAATTGACTCATCAATTCTAAACTTAATAAATCACATACTCATTTATACAACATTGTTTAATCAATCCAATAATATTGAATAATGTAACAATTTTTTTAAAAGTCATATTGTTCGGTTAGTTTGAATTCTAATAACTAGATGCTGTTTTTAACCATTCTACACAGTTATCTGAATAATAGGTATTGCAGGGTTGTTTTAGTCATGCTTATTACATGTTCATTTGAACCATAGTCATTAGATGGTCATTCAGACCATGGTTACTACATGGTTATTTGTACCATGTTACAGACAGACAGACGCAGATGAATTTAGGTTTCTAGACCCTATCATTTCAGTCTAGGGAATATTCTCATTTGTGTCATAGTTACGTGGTCATTTGTGCCCAAAAATTCGTCGTTTGTGCCATAAGTACGCAGTCATTTGTGTCAAAAAAATGGTCGCTTGTGCCATGTTACCGACACAAAGGATACATGGACACAGATGAATTCCCGTTTCTAGACCCTATCCTTTCAGTCTAGGGAATGTGTTTCATTGATATTACAAAGACTTATGACTTCGTCAATCGTGATCTTCTGTGGAAAGTTTGTCGCAAGTATGGCATTTCAGAGAAACTTGTTAATCTATGAAAAATAGCTCTATAAGAACTCAAAGGCAAAAGTGACAATTGAAGATGAATTATCGGATAGTTTCTTAATTGAAACTGCAGTTCAACAAGATGGAATACCATCACCAATCCTGTTTAACATTTTATTTGATTTTATCATCAGAAACTTTATGAAAGAGGCTGATATTGCCGGAGTCAAATTTTCTTGTGGCAATAATAATTCTTTTCATGTCAAACGGGAAAACTATGAAAATTTTAGTATCTTAGCACTACTTTATGCTGATGATCTTGTAGCTATGTGTGAAACAGCATCTGATCTAGCAACATTTATTCGAACATTTGAAAAAGTGACTCAAGAAGTTGGATTGACACTGAGTGTTAAAAAAAACATGTATTATGACTTTGCAACAGTTTGAGGAAGATCAAAATCGAAAGATTTTAAAACAGAACGAAGTGATCTTTCCTGATATTGACATTACAATTCGCAATCAAAAGATAAAACCTGTTGAGTCTTTCACGTATTTAGTTTGTAACATCACTAGAGATCAAACGCCAGATAGCGATATTAATGCAAGATTAACCAAAGCTGCCATTGCATTTAATATGTTAAGACATGTGATGTGGAGTCGAAAAACTGTCTCAATCAAATCAAGACTACATGTTTTTCGTGCTTTTGTTCTTCCAGTTTTACTTTATGGAAGTGAAACGTGGTCAATTACAGGTCAACATGAACGTAGAATTTCTACTTTTTATATGAAATGTTTATGTATAATTATCGGTATAAATCTCTGTGATAGAATGTCAAATGAAAAACTATTAGAAATTACTGGTCAACCATGAATTGAGAATACTCTGCCTAGAAATAGATTGAGGTGGTTCGGACATGCAAACAGGATGATGAACAGTTATGATGAGTCATCAGTGGTGAAAAAGATTACATTTTCATATTTTCCTGAAGAGAAAAGACCTTGAAGCATCGTCATAAGAAAAAGATGGGAAGATAAAATTCAAAGTGATATACAACCTCTGAATGTTACCAACTGGAGAAGACAAAATCTCAATAGAAATCATTGGCGTGGTGTAATTAGTCGGAACACTCAGATCAGATCTATTCACCCAAATATAAAAGATATTATTTTTGAGTATAAACAACGAGCAGCTGAACGAAGAAGAAGAAGAAATTTAGCAACAGCCCGTGGAATAGTACAGAAAAAAGTAGCAGAAGTATTAAAAAAGAACACCAATGGTAAATACCAATGTCATGGTTGTGGCAAATTGTTTATGTCTCAAGATGTTACGAAACATGTTAAAACTTGTGCACCAGACTGGTGTACAAAGAACAAAATTAGATGAATGAACTAACTAAGCAGCTGATAATGATTGTTAATCATGTATTGGAACTTGAACTTTGTGAGAATGATGGATACCATTTAAACTGACATCAGAGGGTAATATCTTGATAAATAACTTAGCTCAACTTTCAGTAGCGATCAATAGAACAGTCGTCAAATAATGCACTTTAGCATATTTGTGTTTTGTTTGTATTCTCACCCCAACCAGATATGGCAATGGGTCTAACTAACTAACTACCTTGAATGGAAATGTCACAAACCTAATAGGTAGGATAAAATGGCATGTTCAGTAACATCATGTTATCACCAGCTCATATCAATAAACTAGTCATCAGATTCCGTTCATTTAAAAGAAACTGTATGATGCAAATCAGCTCAGTTAGTTGATATAGAACTGTCACACATCTCTTCGCCTAGGTGAAGGCATACGGACTGGTTCCGACAGGAAAACATCGGAAATCAATGGAACTTGCGGGCAATATTTCATGCTAAAAAGTATTCGGATTTTTTACGGTGACTTCCGACCAACTTTTTGTTCTTCTCGACGGAGAAAGACAAGAAGTCACCGATAAAAAATCGGGAGGAATTTCGGCTCGGAATACTGCGTCCAATTTTCATTCATTTCCAACAATTGCTTG